CTGCAGCACTTGCTACAGCTATTGTGAAGTTGACTTCCTATCCACATTTCTTTTCTTTAGTAAAACGGGCTTTTTAAATAAAAAAAAAGTGAATTCTTTACAAGACGGCATTTTTCAGATCCCTGGAAAAGTTGTGGGTAGTCGTACTTCGGGCCACTGTATGTATTATCCCAACATTCATTCGCTTTTGGCTAAGCGGTATTTGCTGAAAACCTTCCTTCAAGATGAAATTTTAGGTAAAACTGACGCATCTTTTTTGTTTTTAACAGCACCTGGGCCGTTCTTCAAATAACAACATATCCCTTAAAACAACCATCTTGTATTTTCAGATCTGGCTGTCTTTAAAAAGCTCGCGATACCGGAGCCGAAATTCCTCATGAAAGATTTATTGAAAGATGTGGAGCACTCCGGATTAGTCTATTTTCCGTCAGCTGTGATTAGTGGGCGCTTGTGGGATCAAACAGTACACAGTATAAACGAGGAGGTATCATATTCTAAAAAGAAGTAATTTGTGTTTGTGTTCATTGAGAGGAACAGGATTTTTTTAATGAACTAGGAACAAACGAGTTTCAGCTCACGAACTTGTAGTTTTATGTGCTTTTTTTTTTTCGTATGCAGTTGTTTTCAGTTATCGTGAAACATTTTAGATAAATACAAAGTCTTGTGTTGACGTGACGAAGCATCTTCCGGAACGCATTCAAAATGCTGCTGACGTAGAACACGCTATCGTATCGTTAACAAAAAGCAATAAGGTCTGTTTACTGAGTAGCGCTGAGCTTAACTGCGTTTGTTTCTGATTTTTCGTACACACTTATTGCCTTAGGATTGGCTTTTCGTATCTGGCCAGCCATATATCTATAACCAGCAGCTTCTTTCATCCACTGTGAAAACTCTAGACGATTTCATAAACGCACGAGCCGAAGAACTTGCAGCTAGCTGGGGCAAGCAACAAAAAATGTGCAAAAAGGGGGAAAAGGTTAGCCCTTTTATTATAAAGTTG